ATAAATAAATAAATATATATATATATATATATATATATATATATATATATATATATATATATATATATATATATATATATGCGCTGTAAAAATCTATAAAGTTTGGTGTATGTAAATGCTGTTGAAGTGCATGAGAAACAAAAACAAAATATTCTGAGAAAACAGCCTTTAAAAATATGCATTATATTATATTATGCAATTCAAATCTACAGACACAAATAGATAAAGTGCAATAAACATTTAAAAGTGTATTTTGGATGTTTTCTTCCCACTAGTCTAAAATAACACATTATGAAAAGCCAAATAGTTCAAAATCTCAAAACTGACTAGTGCATGGACAAAAAGGGTTTACTATCTTGTAGGGCTGTCAAAATGGCTGAAAAATTAAATTTGAATTTTGCACTTAAATATTATCAATATCGAATAATATTCTAATTTAAAAGGCATAATTTCAGTTTCAGAAGCTTTTGGCTTCTCTCCTGAGGCCACAAGAGGGCACATCAAGCAAAATATTACTAACGCACGTTTATTAAAACAATAAAATAACATGATTATTTGTGAAAGTGCATAATGCTTATAAACCAAACATAATTAAGTTGCTTAAACAATTATAAACAAAACAGCATCATGTATGCATAGTTTGATACAAAGGGATGAAAGCCAATCACACAAGACTTTTTTCATTTAAAAACATAAGATTTATTGGGATGGGAAAAAACCCGCCATAAAGTTACATTGTTACATTAAATTTACAATTTTAAAGTTACATTAATTTTACATGGCTTTCTAAACATGTGGCTCTCTTGTGCGCGACGCAAGTGCAACGGTGATAGATTATGCGCAAAACATGAGTTCTGTGTGAACGGCTTGGTTGCTTTTTTGACGTAAACAACATAATCTCCGCATCGATGTTCTCTTTTTCCGCAATATTTTAAATAAACAGCGCAGCATCACCGCATCTACTGGGTTCAGCTGGATAGGCTAATAAAAACATTAAAAAGCAGCAAAACTTACATCGTCGTCGCATCTTGTGTGCTACTGATAAGGCTGCCTAACGCACACCTAATATTCGAATGCTAGGTTTTTACATTTAGATGTAGATTTTTATTTTAAATTCTATGAATATTCGAAATTCTACTATCTTGCCTTAATTTTCACAAATTATTATTAGGGATGGACGATATCTTATCGTTTGTGATATAGTCTTCCTGCGATAATAACGATAAAGCCTAGTTGTTGACATATTTTTGTGTGCGATCGTGCGGAGCGACATGTTGGAAGGCGGATGTGAAATTGAGGAGCTTCCTCTACAATCTGGAACTGGTTTGGTTAGGGTTGTACAGTGCGACAAAAAAATGGTCTGAGCCTTGAATTAATGTACTACAGTACCTGTTGTCCAGCCAAGGTATAATTTATTGACATGATTTTTCTCCAAATTAACTTAACCTCATAACATCAGTCAAGTGTTTGAAATAACTTTGTGATCAGTCGTGGTTTTAAATCACAGAATGAGGCAGAAATCATAATATTTTATACTATTATATACAGTGATAAATGCTGTGTTGATTAGCATTGCATTATAAATATACTTCATCCTTATAAAATACCCAAGATTGCTTGAACACAAACCATATATTGTCGCAATCGTATTGTCTTCAAGTTTCCTCAGTTAACATTTTTCTATCTGCGTTTTATTCAGCTACCGCGATAACTGGATACCTTTGTGCATATTAGGGATTTCCTGGAGCGTTGTCAGTGCTATTACTTCTGCAATGCATATGTGGAGTTTCTGAGCAAGGGCGCCCTCCGGCTTCCAGTATGAATTAAATAATCATCATATTATGTGTGTACTCAGTAATGCTCACAACACCCTATTTTGGGTAAAAATAGGAAAGATAATACTTTTCACTGAAGAAACAGGATTTTTAAAATATTTTTGTAGGGCTGCTGATAGTCGACTAACCGTTAGTTGACCAGAAGAGACTTGGTCGACCAAAATTGTATTAGTCGCTTAGTCGCAGAAAAAAAAATCCACATTGGCGAAGTCACGCAGATCATTAATGACTGGTCTGTGTGGTAATATAGTACATCAGTCAGGACATCCAAACACTTGCCAATCATTCATCGACCTCAGATATGGCTTTTCATCTGAAAATATGTAAGTAGCATCAACTTTACATGGCCGCTCAATCTAATGTTAACCTAGAGAAATGTGCGCTATTCAAGTGTGTATGCGGAGTGTGGAGCAGCGCTCACTGCAGGACAGATGGAGGTGCCACTGCACCCACTTACTCTTAAAATACTCCCTCATTTTGGTCATACAGATAAGAGTAATACATCTTTCAAATCTGTAAAGACTCTACGTTTATTTGTGTGTTCTCACAATAACAACAAAACATTGCGCTTTTGTAAAATAATGAAAGCAAACAGCATGCGCTTTCTGCCGTTTCAGTCTCTCTGAACTTGAGCGCGAAACTTCGAAACTCCGTGTATACTTACCTTTACAGACATGAAAAATATATCTATAGTGAGTGAAACGTCTAATTTCAAATTGAACCAATTCAAATGGAAAATAAATATTCTCAGATTATGTAATCCGTACGAAACATGCATACAGGCTTGTCCACTAGTGCAAAAATGACGAGTCAATGTCGCCGACTTTATCTCTTTAGCCGGAAACAAAGAAAGCACCAGTTTATCAATACATTATTAAAATGTTAATGCAGCCTACTTACTGCTTTCCCTGACATTCATAATCATTAGCTTCTGTTTTGCCGGTGCGCTGTGGCAAGCTTTATGCGTGCGCTTGAGCGCTTAAAGGCTATAAAGGCAATTAAAAGCTCATTATAATGATTTAAATGGTTTATTGCTTAAAATGAACGACTGCTAGTCAACCAGAAAAATCTTTAGTCGAGGTAGCCCTAATTTTTTGTCTCTTAGTGGATGCATAAGATTCCCTGAATTATCGTCATTGATATCATTATCGCAGTAAATACTGGAAATTATCGTGATATATTTTTAAGCCCATCCCGCCCATCCCTAATTATGATTGTGTTGTGGTTTGTTCCTCAGGTGACCCGGACAGCCCCATAGACCTCTCGCGCCCGCATTCGGTCCTGGTGAGCAGTGACCCGAAGCAGGACCACAACTACAGCAGCTCGTCCTTCCAGCGCTGCTCGTCTCGCTCTTCCTCATCCTCCTCGTCCTCACTGTCCTCCCTGGACGAGGCCGGCTGTGACTCGGGCCAGGGCCGCCGCGCCGGCAGCGAGGGTTTCCATAGCGATGAGGATTCGGAGGAGGAGAGGAACCCGCGTCTGCCCTCGCTCACCGTCAAGTGCCCTCTTCCGGTTAAACGGGCCCGTCACGATTCCAAACCGGAACTGGACGAGGAGTTGAAGGAGGCGGCCGGGTCTCTGTTGCACCTGGCTGGGATTCGGTCTGGCTTGGATCTCTCGAAGCGAACGGCTAAGAGTAAAAAGCCAGAAAAGCACCGGAAATGAATGGTTTAGTGACATTTTAACCCCTGGACTGTATATCAGTGACTGTGCCTCCTCATTTTTCACATCATTGAAACCATCTCTCTTGTTTTTTTGCATTTTTATACGAGAGAATTCCCTCCCTCCCGGCAATAGCAACCCTCACACGGAGGTGAATGAAGCCATACTGAGACTTACGGAGAAACGCAGGTTGTTGTGCTTCAGGATGAAGGATTGAGATGAAGGATGAAGGGAGAAATTGGTGTTTTTTTCTCTTAAACGTTTGCATGCTTCCTCTTTAAGTGAGTGTCCTACTCTTCCAAGTGAATCTGTGCTATTTATACAGAGAACGAGTGCATGTCTGTGTTGTTCGAAGCACTAACCTCTCGTCCATTTTATAGACGCGAATTACGTCAAGATTCCCTGCGCTTTTTTTTTTCTTCTTCTGAAGTACAGAACAAAGAATGCAATAATTCTGATCAGGCGGGTGGCGTTACATTCGTTCTCCTCATCAGAGGTGCTGGATATGTGTTGGGTTGTCATCAGGTCTGAGCGGATGTGTGCAGAAACAATCCACAGATAACAGATTTCTTTAAGGATCTGTCAGTGGTGTTTGGTGATGTTTATGGGGTAAATCTCATGTAAACAGGTCACACTTCACTCCAGAATCAAAATAAAGAAAAATAAATGATATTTTGCATTAAAAATTAATACAATTAATTGAGAATTTTTTTGCATTAAGACATTTTCTTCAAAATTCCTATTTTACTCAATAATTATTATTACTGTAATAAAGTATTTTTAGTTGCAGTTGCATTTTTTTAGTAGCACATCAGATGTTACCATGCTGTGATACTTCTTAATAATGTAATATATTTTTTTCCAGTATGCTTTTGAAGATTTGAGATGGTATGTACAAAAATGGCAAATAAAACTTACATTTTGAATTACAATGACCTTTTTACATTTTAAAAGTCAGCAAAAATTGGCATGAAAAACAGCACTATATTTGCTACCATAATGTATTTTAATTTTTGCAAAAATGAAAATAAATAAATAATAATAATAATAACAGTACTAAAATGGGCTTGTTTGTAACTTGCTCACCGTCAATTGTCATTATTGTAATATTTTTTAAATTGCAATTTATTTTTCTTGGTAGCACATCAAATGTTACAATTCTGTATAAATACTGTTCATAAATGAATTTCCAATATGTCCATACAAATTTGAGTTGGAATGTTCAAAATAATTAAATTTTTTTTTTTTTTTTTACATTTATAAATCTGCAAAAATTAGTATAAAAACCAATACAATAATTTCTACCTTAATGTTTTTTTTTTCTTATAAATGCTTCGTTGTCATGAAAATGTTGCAATGCAAAAAAATTAACAAAATATAAATAATAAAAAAATTATTATAACAGTACTAAAATAGACTTATTTTTTTAATGAAGACTAATATTTTAATGAAGTGTATTATTGTATATTATGATTTTTTTGTTGTTGTTTGGAGTGAAATATGACCTGAAAATGTTCATGACCGATTTAATGAGATTTACACTATGAGCCTTTAATTAATTTAAAAAGTAAAAAAAAAAGAACTGCATGACTGGAATCAAAGCCTAATCTTGAATATCAACACAGGATCAAGATCCACAACCATCAGCGGAAGAATTCATAAACACAAACCAGCCCCAAACAGACTCTGGGACCAGTCTGAATGAACAGCAGAGGACTGGAACACGTTTTCCCATCATCCATCAGTTTCTGTGTGCTAAATGAAACCGCTTGCGGTTTGATTCCCTCTGTTCAGAGCCTATGCAAAAAACGAAAGCCGTGTAGCTCTATATTTCCTCTTGGTAGATATATATGTGTGTGTGTGATTATGTATGCATGTGTTTCTGTGTCCATTCGTTGCTGTTTTAACACAGTCAGCAGACTTTAGATCAACACTGGATTTAAACCATTTAAAGCTTGAGGAACTCGAGACCGCATGTTCATATGAGCGTGAAATGAATCGCATGAAACCACTAAAGAAAAGCTCATATTTCACCTCAAAATGAAAAAGAAAAATGAGAAATTATATTTTGCATAAAGTAAATGAAGATTGAGATTTTTTTTTTAAATGACAACATTGTTTTCGTGACAATTTAAGCATTTTCCCCTTCAAATGACTGAATTCTGCGGAAAATGGCACTTTAAAAAAATGTCTTAATTTTAAATCAAATTAATTTAATGTGAAAACAAATAATTGTTAATTGCAAATCATGGTAGTATTTGTTATACCATCTCCAATTTTACGATGATTTTAATAAATCAATAAAAAAAGTATTACAGTATTTGTAACCGTAGTAAGGTTAAAAAAAAATAAAAGTTGATATACAAGCAAATTTAAAGCTCAAACATCAAAATTTAGTTCTAACAATGGGATGTAATTGTATTATTATTTTGGGGTGAAATACAATCCACTAAAGCTTTAATGAGAAACTACTGAATTACTGCCACATATACAAAAAAAATCCTGATAGCACAGGTACATGAAATATGATTATTTATTCATGCTGTATGTTAGTAGAGGAGCAGAATGAAGTTTGGTCAGCAGTTTGTGTTGTTTTTCCTCATTTGACCCTCGGTCTGTACATGCAGGACCTGTGCCAAAACACCAGAATCACTGCCTCAGACATAAAGAATAAACGGCTGGCTGTTCACAAGCTGCTCCATTCTTCATTTCATCTGGAGCCCACATTATGTCGTCTTTTTCTAGAAAACATCACCAGTGTCTACAAAACCTGTGTTTGCTCCTCTGATGCCAAAATATCACTGCCAAGACTGCTTTACTAATCCCGCCTTTCTATTTCTGTTTTTGTGCATCAGGTTAAGAAGTATTGACTATTAACTAATAAAGCTGCCAAGACCCAGTGAGGGTGAATCCCACCAAACCTGTCAAGAAAATACGATTTCTTTTCACCTCAAATACAAATGAAGAAAGAAAGAAGCAATTATATTGGACTTAAAATTAGGAATGTTTCTTTTTTTTCTTTTTTTTTGCTATTTGACATTGTTTTAATATTGTACATTTTATAATGTGTGTGTGTGAGGATGGATGGATGGATAGATAGAGGGAGAGATGGATGGATGGATAGATAGAGGGATGGATGGATGGATAGATGGATAGATAGAGGGAGAGATGGATGGATGGATGGATGGATGGATAGATAGAGGGAGAGATGGATGGATGATAGATGGATGGATGGATGGATGGATGGATGGATGGATAGAGGGAGAGATGGATGGATGGATGGATGGATAGAGGGAGGGAGAGATGGATGGATGGATAGATAGATAGATAGAGGGAGAGATGGATGATAGATGGATGGATGGATGGATGGATGGATGGATAGAGGGAGAGATGGATGGATGGATAGATAGATAGATAGAGGGAGAGATGGATGGATGGATAGATAGATAGATAGAGGGAGAGATGGATGATAGATGGATGGATGGATGGAATAGATAGATAGATAGATAGATAGATAGATAGATAGATAGATAGATAGAGGGAGAGATGGATGGATGGATAGATAGATAGATAGAGGGAGAGATAGATAGATAGAGGGAGAGATGGATGATAGATAGATGGATGGATGGATAGAGGGAGAGATGGATGGATGGATAGAGGGAGAGATGGATGGATGGATAGATAGAGGGAGGGATGATAGATAGAGGGAGAGATGGATGGATGGATGGATAGATAGATAGAGGGAGAGATGGATGGATGGATGAATAGAGGGATGGATGGATGGCTAGATAGAGGGAGAGATGGATGGATGGATGGATAGATAGATAGAGGGAGAGATGGATGGATGGATGAATAGAGGGATGGATGGATGGCTAGATAGAGGGAGAGATGGATGGATGGATGGATAGATAGATAGAGGGAGAGATGGATGGATGAATAGAGGAATGGATGGATGGATAGATAGAGGGAGAGATGGATGGATGATGGATAGATAGATAGAGGGAGAGATGGATGGATGGATAATATTTGTTTTATTTTTTTCCCTTTTATTAACTTGAGTTTTTCTTTTCTTTTCTAATTTGAGTTCTATTGATTGAAAGCTGGTCGTGACATGTATTCGTGAGATTCACCCTTGAAGCAAGATGAAATCTGGGAATTCTGGGAAAATATCGACCCCAAATGTAACGTCTTAAAATGTCGTTTTTAACACGAGTGTATGTGAAATTGCAATTCCTGACATTGTGTTTTTGTAAACTGCCATTGCTTATCTGCACTGCCACGTGACCATCCGCTCGCTGTCCCATGATGCACTGCTTCTTCATTCTCAAGTGTCCAGTGATAGATATTCCTGTGAAACTGAACTCCGAGGTGGAGATGTATCTGTGAATGAATCGTTCGTCTCCTCATGTCGTCTTCTGCAGACTATGGAGTGTGTGAATGATGTACATAAATCTGATCTGTGTTCTCATGACTTTCTGTCGACCCGATCTGCCCCTCAGTATGAGTTTGATCCGGTCTGCCGTGTGCTAGACCGACAAACCCCTCGTTTTTTGTACGCTAACCTCTGTTAATAAAATGTTTATAAAATTTATTTTCGCCAAAGATATGCAATTGCATTATATATGGTATTACTGAATAAAAGATGTTGATTTACTTAAGATGGTTTTGTCCAGATGTGTGTACATGACACTTCGTCATCACTTTAGTAGTGAGAGCTCACCTAATGGTTTAGTGTGTGTGTGTGTGTTTTATATATAATATAGTGTGAGTACATATTGTATAGCGAGAGAGTAATCAAATGAATAAAAAACATTTTTATAGTATTTAATAGAATAGATTTTTATATTTAAATAAATATCCTATATACAGTCAAACCATAAATTATTCAGACACCAGATATAATTTTTGATGCAGGACACTATAGTTCATTGATGTAAGTGAGGATAGCAAAATAAAGTAAACTGTGACATATTATACCCAAAAAATCTTCATACAGTGGACTACCAGTAAAATTTGGGACCAAAAGTTATTTAGACACTTTGACCTGAGCATGTCTTAAGTGTTTTTTCTTTGATTGCTAATGCGATCTTTTTCCACCACAGGCTGAACAAAAGTAAGCATTGCTTGATAATTAGTTGAGCTAAACTGATATTATCTGATTGTGTGCTTAAATTAAACAGCTGACTGCTATTCAGTCAAATTCATTACATACCTTTCTATCAAAGTTATCTGATATTATCAAGATGAACTTGTTCAGACAGAGTTTAACTCTTTGAGTTTTAATTCTTGTCATATTTTATTACCATTTTCTAAAGTATAGCAAATGATAATGTGAGAAATGTTGAAGGTGTCTGAATAAATTTAGTTTTGACTGAATATAAAATTAAAGTATATTTTCTAATATATATATAATTATATATATTATAATAAAATATGTTATACAATAAAATATAATTAAAAAAAATATATAATTTTTTAAAGTTCTGTACAATAATTTTTTTATATATTTAATAATTTCAAATTATGTAATTATTTGATATGATCAAATGTATTCATTATGACAACATGAACAGTTTATACATTTACGTCTAGATGAAAATGTTTCTCTAATATTTTAATATTGGGTAGAGAGAAAATAATACATTGATAATTTTATACAATGACGTTTAATATA